ACTGAAAAATGTGAGTCGGCATACAACAGTAGCAAACAGTGCGAAGCCGATATGAGTGATACGCTGAATAACCCATAGACCCTACGTATTCACACATGTGCTATATATGAGCTAACGAGTTGCTGTTCTATTCCCCACTCACTATGCATTTAATTAGTTGATAATTGATCAAAAGAACGTTGATCCATTAACTTTCAAGTAATTATATATGAGACTAAGCTTTAAAAGAATAATACCAAGGTTCATATGAAATATATATTCATGCTTAGGGTTCGAAAGTTCATTTTCGAAGAAAAATGAAGAAGAAGAATCGAAATCCGTTTGACATTATATAACGAAACATTTATGACTTTATTACTTTACTGATGATACACAATATCATTTGAAAATTTGCAAACTTTTTAGCTAAGGAAGCAAAAAATTTTTCGATTACAATATTGTTAAATATAATGTAAGAAGTGATTTGTTTAATCAGTAAAATTCAAACCCTTTCAAAGCGGGAATCAATTATTCTAAATATCTTATTTACACTCATATTATACTATATTTATGTAAACCATCTTCAAATGAGACAGTTTTGAGTCAATACCAGTATGTCAGCAATGAATCTCGTTCTCATAAACGGAATTTATACGCTCCGTTAGGTTGGGATTCAGTTTCGGCAATAATTTTTATAGATCGCGAGAGCAAAGTTTTTAACAATTCTTGCCTCTCCTAATGTTTTATATTACTTAAGAAATTACAAATTTCTTAAATTCTCTGTATGTAAAGAAGATTTCTGAAGAAAACACTGTTGGAACATTTTCCACGATTCTGTATTAGAATATTAATCAAATATAAAATAATTTAAGCAATGAAATTATTTCAAAGTGAAATTGGTTCTCAACCTCCATTAAAATGACAACATGCTACTGACCTGGAATAATTTGCAAAATATAATAGTAATAAGTAGCATTATATTGTATTTTCTGCAATCTCAGTAATGTGTTTCAAAAGTCAAATATTCAGAAATTCTTTTGGCTTTCAAATTCAAAAGAGGAACTCTGTTATTCTGTAATCTAAGCCAAAACCCACACAGCTACTCACTCCAGTGTTAGCTACATTAAACGTAGCTGCCATTGTTTTTGTTAGTAGTCTTAAAGTTCACTTGAGGCATGATAATAGCAATGTCCTCTTGCGCCACAAAACTCAATTTATTTATATACTACCTCAGCTCAGGCCAAGTCCATGGGCACAAACACGTGCTTCACATGTCACTTTGCAGTGCACCCATACATATGTATGTAGGTACATGTGCTTGCATGTGTGTGTATTTTTGCACAACTTAAAGTTTTATAACATATTATGGAGTTGAATTGTTGAACTGCAGTAAAAATGGCAGCCGGAAATGAAGGAATGAATAAGCGAGCACCACATAACTTCGCATAAGCACACATACACATACATATTCATATATATCCATGTGCACCTGCATGCATTTATATACTCAATTTATTTGTGGCAATTTGCTGGCAGGTTGCACATACGCTGACACGTATGTTGTTGCATGCATATTAAGGCATGCGGCGTTAGCTTTCGTTGTTGTTGTGAAAAGTTTTTGTCATAAAATGCAAATGAAACGTGTTCAACTTGCTGGGAGTTTGAACAGCATGGACTGCAAGTGGCGCATATCCATGCCAAATTCAGCGCGATAACGGTGCACTGACAAATGCATAGAATAAATATATACAAGTATGTATATATGTACTCATACATGCAGATTTCTACTTCATGTATGCTAATGTTTCTGTGCATGTGTGCATACTGGGTATCCCGTTTGGTTTAATGACTTTTACACAAATACCTATACTCACACACATATATATATGTATATGGTATACTATATATATTTATATGGATCACACAGGTGTACAGTGCTTTACCGTTCAAAATAGTTTCAGTTTAGTTTAGTCTAGTTGAGTTGCTTTTAAAATGCAGTTTCTGCTGACTAATTTGAGCAAATTAGTTCGAATGGCAGTTTGTCCAAATGCAATTTGTAAAGTTAGTTTGCTATTGGTTTTTGTTCACTTTCAACACATGTTTATATCTAAACCACTGTGTCAATATTTTATTGTTTTGCAGAGTTTTGAAAATATTTTTCTTTTTGGTTGACAAAAGCGCAATTTATTTTAATAATAATGATTAAGTGCAAAATATGAAGTCTTGTAAAGAGGAATTCATTATTTTTCGAATATAGTGTGGCTTAAGTAATTTGTACCACGCACTGTAAAAGTTTGCTTGGAGAAGTACTATACATCATTGGAAAGATGAGATTTTGTACTAAAATTTTTTAAACGATTTTGTGATTGCTTGACTCAGTATTCTTTGCGCAGGCGTCAAAGATGGTGTCCATCGAAAGATTCTATTTACCGAAATTCGTATGCTGTTCAAAGCAAATGACCGCTACTAGTCCCCCTCTTTTACATATTTTTTTAACTAATAAATTCACATACGAACAATCTTCGTAAAATAGATGCTCCTAGACGAGTACTGTTTATTCGATTTCCTACAAAATCTATGAAACCAAATATTTTTTTGCAAGCAGTTGGAAGCTTGACATAAATTTTTCTAACTGATAACAAGAAAAAATAGAAAACTATAAGGCGAAGAGCCCTCCCGTTACAATTAAGAGCTCGGATTTGGAGATTTTTTCGTGTAGGTGTTTAAGCACATTTTTTTCAAAGTACCAAGCGAAAAAAATATTCATGTTTTTTGACCCACCTTGCAGCTCATTCCATATCATTCAATTATAATATGATGTCTATGATAGCTGCGCTTATTACTAGGCAGACACCTTAGCGCTAATGAGAAGCCGGACAGTTTTATGCATGTAAATTCTTCCTCTTTATTGTCTAAAAAGTTCTCAAATAACAGTAAGTACCTATATATCGCTTCACATCGAAACAACGTAGTTTATTTGCGGTTTATTAGATCGACTGTAACATCAAAAAATTCGCGGACCTAACTTGGCACCGCCAGAGGGCTCTTCGCCTAAGCTGCTGAATTGAATTTCAACTCGAAATTTACTTTTAAAATGAGCCTCTAAATGTCAAAATTTTATTTCCAAAAAATTTTTTTTTTTTTATTTACAAATTTTTTTGCTCCACCCTATTGTTCATTGTTATTTGGGTATGCGAAAGCTCAGTACAAAGTGGTATCGCAGGAACCACTGAAGCAATGCACTGTATTTAGTCGATGAAGAGAATGCTTGGTGAAAACGAATCCAATACAGATAAGTTATGCATATATAATTCCGAAAACTTTGCGCTATTTTTATGAAAAGACAAAACGTTCATGCAAACATGTTATTGACAAGGCGGAGAAACTATAATTTACGTTTGATTTGTCAATAAAAACCAAAATGTGTACATGTGTTAAAATAAAGAGTATTAAAAAATTATAAATTTATTTTTATTTAATTATTCCTAATTGAAGGGTGAGTAAAAAGTTGTCATTCGCATACAATTTTATTTCAATATTTTCATTTGATACCAAAATCAACAGAATAGGTTAAGATTTGCCAACACTAGCAATATAAAGTAAAAAAAAAAATTTTGCTTTAATTTTTATTCCTAATCGAAAGGTGAGTTGAAAATGGTACTAAGCACACAATTTTAATTAAAACACTTTTTCGTTGTTTTTCCTGAATTTTAATCAACCCCACTCAATTAATTTTCTTTTGACACCAAAATCATCAAAATCGGTTAAGCTTTGTTGAAATTGCAAAAAAATCACGTCTGGTCACCCTACCACGTTTCCTCGATTTTCGCCAAATTCATCAACATCAAATTCTACCAGGCGACCATAAATGCCAGTAGATCGCTATGGCAAAACATTTATGATTTTTTGTAGCATACCTCAAAGGCGCAACATTCAATATAATTTTGGTAAAACGGAACCGATTTTGAAGACTTTTGCGCAAACAAAAAGTAGACGCTTTGAGAATATATTAGTGCAATGCATTTACTTTCATCTAATATACACACATGACAATTTTGCTAAAAGTAAGCGGTTATAAGAAGTGTACTGGAGTCGAAAGTAGGATATTTATAGTGTTGTAATAGGTATAATATAATTTACTCACAAAGCATCGCGCAAAGGTCGAGTAGTATAAAAATCGTTTCATCTTGTCTTACAAATTTAAAGTTACTAGTTTTTATCATGGAGTGTCTGTCACATTTTATTATTAAATATTTCCTTCATTTGCAGTTTGTGAACATTGATTAGTTGGTGCATGTAAAGCGCCACCCTTTCATTTGGTACCGGAATGTAAGAAATCTGTTTGGAATTATAAAGTTATTCTTGTAAACGTCACAGCACATCCTGTATTTCCGGTTATCCTGCACTAGCCGATATAGCAGTTTCCTTTGGCGCCTTTGGGATAGGATTCAGCAAAAATAAATTTTTTGCGGCAGCTGGCTGCTGTACGATGCTGCACACCTGATTAAATTTTTTTTTGCAGCGAAAAAACTTTGAGCGCCTCACAGTGGCTGGGGTGGCTAGATTATAATTTTTGTGAAACTTTGGGGAAAATTTGATGTTATCTTTGTCGTGCGAAATTTTACAAAATTATTTTGTAAATGTATATATACCTATATATTTATGTATATATGGATACATACTCACTTTTAATGCAAGTTTAGCTCAATCCCTTGGAAATGAAACAATTTCTTTGCTTTTTGCTTTTTTTATTGATTTTTTTTTTGTTATTTGTCTAACGACAAGAGCAGCTTTTCATTTATTTTCACATTTATCAATTGTATATTTAATCTTATAATTTATATTTATTGAGTTTATGTTACTTACTGCATATAAATATATGACTATTTCTAAAATTCGTTTTAGTTTAAATTTTGTATAATATTTGTTTTTTTAGTCTTTGGTTTCTTATTTTCACCTTTTTATTTGCTTTTTATATATATTATTTTTAATTTCGTAAATATTTTAATAATTTTGTGTATTTTTACTTTAATGATACATAATAAGTAGATGGGTTTCGAACTGTTTAGCTTATTCAACTAAATTATAATTATTTATACGCACATTTTGATATTCTTTGTTTGCTTGCTTTAAGTGATTTCGTACGCTTTACTATCATTTGCAGTTACATTTTAAGGGAGAGGTTCAACTGCAATGAAAAGAATAAGTCATATTAAATATAAATGGATATTTGAGTAAGTCTCTTATTTTTCTAAATTCGTAAACGATTTTTGCCAGTTTATTAAAATGATATAGGCTTTATTCAGTAGTTTATAATGCTTGAGACACATTTATTTAAATAAAAACTCAATATAGTGGACATAGCAGAAATTTAGAGCACATTTTTAATTTAGAGACATATTAGACATAAAATAAGAACTCAATTGTGTAAAATAAAGTAAATTTATATTAAAATGAGATGAAATAATTTTATAATAATAAACTTAACGCAAACTATGTACTGGTTGGTTGATCTCACCAGGAAATAGCACTACTAGCTTCAATTTTTTTTTCTCAAGTTGGTACATTTGTCGCGAGAACACATGCAAAGTTACAAGTCATTCTGTCAACTAATTCTTTGTTTACAACCCATTTGAAGTTGATGTATCAGAGTATTTTTTTAATATAGACTGGACTTTGCAATGCTTCCGGAAAGTTATTAAGGGGATGGCCTAAAATTATTGGAGGATCATTGGAATAAATGTATTGAAGTTAAGGGAGATTATATTGCATACAAAAATATCTTTCATACTACTTGTATAAACAGTATGTTTTCATTTCGAGCGCAGCAACTTTGCAACCAACCTGTACATTTGAGATAATCTAGATGATAAGACGAGTAGAGGATATTCTACATGATACTTTCTCTACAGTCCAGTTTAGATAAAAGAAAAATAGCTATTTATGTAACAATGAGAGTGAATTGAAAAAAATATTTCAACTCTTTTGTGGCACTAAAAAAAATTTTACAAGACCAAAGTTTTTTATGAGAGATATCCAGAGCAAACGCCAACAAACAGTGTAAACTGTAACTGGAGGTTTATTTTCTCTAATTTTTTATTTACTTTACACGCGAGTGAGCATAAAAAATTATTAAAGAAAAGCAAGAACAAGAGATAAAAACATATATTTTTGTTGAAAGTATATGTGTTATGTATACGCCACATACCGTTACAACTGAATTTTCCGCATAGTTGAAGCGCAATTCCGTTGTGTGCAAAGGTATGCAACGAATAGTGGCTGAATTTATAGAAATCCCAACATTTGTGTGTGGATCAGCGCTTTAGATTGCCAGAGTGTATGAAAAAAATATATGTGCAACGTGGCATTTATGCACAAAAGCAATAAAAATGCTGCAAAGTACTTGCATGCGAAGGAAGTAAATAAATATAAGGGAAATAAAGTAGCGACTGACAGTAGAGAGAGAAAAATGAAAAGTTGAGCAGAGGGAAGGGGAAAATGCAAGGGAAGGGGAAAATGCAAGCAAAAATGCAAGCGCACGCATTTTGCAATGTAGCAAGCTAAAATCTAAAGAAAAAACACACACAAACACATTTCAATAGTTTTCTGCAGTAAATGCGTATGAAATGGTACATTATATTGTTGTTGTTGGTATTATATAGTTATAGTTAAAGCATGCGCTGCATTTGCATTATCTGCCAAGCAACTGTTTATATATATATAACTAGGTGTATATATGTGCCAAGCAAGCACACTTTGTGGCAACAACAAATGCGTTTTCCACTTCCCTCCGTCGCCGCTTAAACTTAAATATCGTATTTATGTTTCTGGGTTAAGCACCTTATGCAAATTTATTGTTATTTTTTTAAGCTGCTGTCTCTTGCGCTTGCAAATGCAGCTTAGTAGCAGAGATATATACCATATATGTTATACCAATATATATATATGTAATGTGAGTTTTTAGTGCATTTACAATACGCTTGTTTGTGTACTTCCTGCGCGTTGACAGCTTGCGCTTCTCCGTTATATTTATTTACTTTCTTTGCACAACAAGCTTGCGCTACCTAAATACGCTGACTGCGGCAATCACAGCGCTTGTTTGCTTATACCTCTAGCCACACTCGCAGCCAGTATTTTGACTACACTGTGTGTATATCTATCAACTATCTCTCGCATCACTGACAGCATTTCAACTGTTATTATTGACGTTTAACTGCTCTTTTTACTTATATTTGTTTCGTTTTTTTTTATTATCAGTGGTGCATTAATGTCAGTTTATTGCAAAATATTATTCTCGTTTGTGGGTGTTTGTTATTTAAGTTGCTAGTTTTTTCATGATACGGACTTAAGCAACTTTAGTTGGAAATTAATAACAACCTATATATCGTCGCGTAAAATATGACTCTTTAAAACTCATGGTACACTGGTGTAAGAAGTTAGGCGTTGAAACCTTTAATGTAATACTCCTCTGAGACATGAACTCAGACAACGCAAAACTTATTCTATCTCAAAGAATGTAGACAAAAAAGAAAAATATATTATGACATCGAAAAATAAGGGCTTATTTAAACTTTCGTTGATTCTTCAAATTGAAAGATGCGTTTGAGGAAAATACTGTATTGAGAAATTTGGTAAAATACTCAACTATCTTCAGAATTTTTTTGTTCAAAAATAAAGGATTAATATTTTCTTCTAGTGCTTTTTTAGTTTAACCACCCAAAAATTATTAAAACGAAGCTTTCAGATTGGTATAATGTGTGGTTCGTGACTCTTTCAGAGGGGTCTACTAGCTCAGTTATTTCCTTGGAAAATATGTGTGCGTCTTTATCTCGAATGTTTTCTGGCTAAAAAAAAGCTTATAATATAGGAAGAAAGCAAACTTTCATTCTCTATGGCGGGTAATAACATTCCGTTTCGTAAACATACTACATATGTAGCTAGAAACCGTGATTTTTCCAACTCTTTCAAATTAGCAAAATGTATTAGAACTTGATATTTTCTTCTGCACTTGGTGTACCATAAACTCAAGCACTTAATTCATTCGAAAATGCCGAGTTATATTTATTAGGAGTCTGTTCTTTGTTAATTTCATTTCCCTTCTGCAAAGTGATCTCTTTACAAAATATGAGTTTAAATATATTCGAGATAATTTAGAAGTTAAGAATTCTGTGTATATAACATATAAAGAATTTGCTAAAAAAATATTTTTGGAACTTATGTAATACATCTTTCTAACTTTATGCCTTCTACTCGTACACTGATCTGTGATCCAAATTGGCATAGTTTTTAGTAATTGAGTGACAAACAACAAATAGCTTATTTTACTATACACATATATAATTCTACAACTATTATTATGAGAATGGCTATACATATGGCACGACTATTTGGAACGAAGTTTTGAAAAATATTATATAAAAACTCAGCAGTTCCAATACCTACTATTACGGGGTTAAATAGGTTTCCTCGAGCAAAAAACGGGCTTTTCAATATTTTTTTATTTTGCATAAAAAAATTAAATATTTTGTTTAAACTTTTTATTATTCCAAAGATATATATTTTACAAAGACTTTTTGAATTTTTTAAATGAAAATACTCAAAACTCAGCCATTACGGCGTCATTTCTGGTAGTCTCTCGGAAAAAAAATCAAAAAAGTGAAATTTGTATTTTTGGCAATTAAAAAAAAAAAAACAAAATGGAAAAATTTTTGATGAAAATTTATCGACGTTTATTTTTTTTTTTTGTAGTAGGACAAAGATAATTATACCAACGTTCAAGACCTTGCAAATTTTATCTAAAATTTATTGAGGCCGGTTGAGTAGTTGGCGAGAAATCTTGACAACCGTCTTCGAAAACACAGTTTCGAGAAAAATGCGTTTAAGGTTTTAAGCGACTATACAGCTGACCTCGAGCGCGCAACTTTTCAAGGCCGTAACTCCAAAACTATTACACGTATCAACGTGAAAATTTAGTATAATATCCTTGAGATGTTATATAGTTAAGGCAGACAATAAAAACAATAACTTTTTGTAAGCCATAAAACTCATGTAACCCCCTAATAATATCTTTAGAGCATATTGCTTAGTAACCACGCGCCTTTTCCCGTTGGATCGATTTTATTTCGAAAGGAACCGATTTAGCGTTAACTAATACTTTTCTGAACTACTTTGAAATCTATGCAATAATCTGTATTGAATTTGATCTGCTCGATGGTTTAAAATATGTAACAGTAAATATAAGTCAAGTAGATATGTAATTTTATATTTCAGTGTTTGCATTCATTCACCTAAATACAAGGGAAATATATAACTGAGTGCAGCATTTTCAAATACAATAGCACGATATACGCGGCAAAATCGCTCTTTTTGTTATATTTACAAGTACTTTACAGTTGACTTACATTTTGCTGACATTTGCATTATGCTCGTATTCGCTTTTGTCAATACAATCACCGATTATCCTTGATAATATTTATACAATGATTCACATGACTACATTACTTCACATATATTCATATTATATACCATACAAGTATATATATAAGTACCATAAGTATTATATACAAGTATATATAAAATATAATGCTGCTGGTTGTATAGAATATTAAATAATGTTTCACAGTTATGAAAAATACGTAAGTGAGCAGAATAGTTGTAAATAAAGGTTGATTTTTGTACTAAAGCTTTTTGTTTTAACAACAGCTTATATATTTCTAGGCTTATATACATGAAGTTTATTAAAATATTACCGAAATTATCTAAATTCCAAAAAAAAAGTATTGGAGAATAAAGTAAAATCTAATCAAACTATAACTGTCTACGATTTATCAAAGCTTGGAGAGTAACAATTCGAACAAACCACTGGCATAAGTCATATAGACTGGCATAAAACCAAAGAGGACTGGAAGAGCTGGCCATTTGAACATAATAATGCGTCATCCATACACTCATTTGTAGATATTATAACTGCATAATTTTTTAGTAGATTTTTGAGAATATTTTTCAGGGGAGTAGAGTTTAATTAAGTGAGCCGAGCAGTGGCGTATGGAACACCGTTTATATGTATAACAAACACAAAACTATTGAGTTGTTTAATTTTAATCATAAGCATAAGAATTTTGACTATGTTTAACATTAAATGTATACGATTTTATTTACTTTATGATCCAATTGTCGAAAATATCGATA